TGTAATTTTTTCTTATAGAGCCACCATATTTCATAGCTACTCCACCACACAATGTATCAGTAAGATATGATAATGCTATTACATTAAACTGTTCATCTGGTGGAGTACCTTTACCAAATATCACTTGGTTCAAGGATGGCATAGTTATACCTACTGATCAGTATACCAGTAGTAATCAATCAGATACACTCATTACTATGCTCACTGTTGTGGGATCATTAACTTCACATGGATATTATACTTGTCAAGCAGTCAATGATCTAGTGAAGAGGAGAGTCATAAACGCTACTGCGAATGTTATTGTTAATGGTAAATAGGCTAGTTAACTTGCTATTTATTTATATGTATGTTGCATTATAGAGCCTCTTAGTTATGTTGGGATTGATCCACCTTCAACTGGTATAACTTTGAAGCAGTTAGATACCTTTAATGCCAATTGTAGCTTCTCTGGACTTCCTTTGCCTATCGTGTTTTGGTTTCATAATGGTTTTGTCAGTAGCAACAGTAGAGTCTCTATTACTACTGATATTCAAGAGATTACTGTAACTTCAACCCTGACAATAAAGAATGTCAATAAATCAACCGATGAAGGACTTTATTACTGTATTGGCTTGCGATCCTATGAGAATTTATATTATGGTTACAAATACCTAAATATTGATTAACTTTATACTTAGTTAACAGTTTAAGTTTATCTTTTAGTTTGTATAGTATATGCACTTGTTCACTATTGTCACAGTGTTATATTTCAATATTGTTCACCCATTTATTATATATGTACTATATCTAGTACTCATGTACCTAGATCTATTGTTATCAGTCGTGTTTTACTGTTTACTCATTATTCATGCATGCACAACATTTTTAGCATTACCGTATAAAAATTCTTCTTTCAGGCATTATTATACCAAGCGCTATAGCGCTTGGTATGTAGGGTTGAGTTGGACGAGCACACCCCAAAATGGCTGCCATCCCAGAAGCATTGAGCCAGTGTAAATCTTCAGGAATTCTTTATGGCTTATCTGACGGTCAGGATGTCCTATATAATTTTGTTAGAACAGGTTAACGTTATAAAAAGTAGTTATAAAAACTTCCATAAGAACTAGTCCTACAGTTTTTATCCTAAAAATATGATTTTTGCACCATTGTATTGCACTTCAGGGACGCTAGTGCAGTGTGACTTGGTATTGTAATTCTACAAAATGATTTTTGCCGTCATTTTCAAGCACATATTGACT